TCTTTCATGTGTACCACTTAACAAATTCAATTGTGTTGGTTATTTGCTTCCCTAGTGGCATTAGGGAGACTGGACAGGGTGGAGGAGGTACTTCTATGTGAGAGGGAACTTTACCAAAACTATGCTGTGCTGGAGTCCTTACCTGTCTTCTTAAATCTCACCTTTGAAGAGGCTAGTATTGAATATTATAGCTCCACTATACATGGAAGTCTGTGTCTAACTAGTGTGCTAAACATATGCGAAAAATGCAAAGATATGTGTGGAAGGTTCCATACATGTACATTTTTGTCCACTTCCTTTGCATGTGGCTACAGAAAAGTGCTACACCATAACTACAAAACCTAGTGTGCATGTTAGAGTTGCGACTAATGTGGTTATAGGGGCTCCCTACTCTAAGCATACAAGGTATTTGAGTGAAACTACATAAAGCTCTAAGTAATGCTTCAATTTCCCTTTCACTGAGGGAGGGAAAAGAAGAAATAGGACTTAAATTTTAGTGATTTGGCTTTCAACAGGTTTCCATTAAGCTCCTACCCAATCAAAACACCCCAAAGAATACCCAAAAATAAATTGTCCAGCAACAACCCCTTCCTCTGCATTCTTAATAGCATTTGCAACAAGGACCACTATCATTACAAAGAAATTTCAAATCAAACTCTCCTTCCAAACACATTTCAATTCTGTTAAAGAACTGGAAAAGTAGATTTCTCTGAAAAAACCAAATTTTCCTCAATTAAATGCTTCTCTTGCTTGCTTTTTTGCAGATATGCTACCAGGCAAAGAGAGATTTTAAAATGTTTACACTAATTATCATAAAACTGGGCGATAATTTTGATCCTGTGCGAAGGTTAGCTGCTTGCTGTTTGTTGTTATAAAATTAGGATCTTGTGCCTGTACAGCTACAGTGTAGTTATTAAGACAGCATTACCTTGAAGTTCAAATTTCATTGCCTAGTACTAGAAATTCAAATAAAGGCTAAGGGATTCCTGGTCAGAAACTGAGACAGGTCATATATCAGCCATTTCCAGAAGTCATAGCATTATGTTACTAAACATGACATGACACAACACTCCAACAACTAGAGTATGCACATGTTTTACAATTTTCCAACTTATATCAAATTCCATACTCAGGTTATCAAAGTGAGAATAATTCCCATTTGTCAACAAATCCTTAAAAGTAATCAGTTTTGTTTCTATTTTTAACTATCTGCAGAATTTGTAGCATGCTCCAAACATTATCAGTTGATCTGTACTACTGGATGGCATGTATGGAGAGTGCAAGTGGGAGAAGAGGTAAATCAATTATCCCAAAGCTGATTCTTGGTATAGATGGTGTACACTGAAGAGAATTAAGCAGTATAGCAATTCAAGAAGAAAGCCAGAAAAATTCTCCGTTTAGTCAGCTTTCATCTGATCATTGTCCATACATTTACACACAAACATGATAAAAGTATGACAGGTAAAAAAGGTTCCCTTCAGTAATTATAGACCTTACAGATAATGGATGCCCTCTGCAGCACTCAGCTGCACATAACTACATTGTGTTTTACTGGAAAGTTGTCATCGTTAAAACATTTTAAAATTGGATACTATGGTAAATGTAATAAAATAGAACTTACAATAATGATATACTGTAAAAAGAGTTGGTGTTGTTCATTGTGGCGAGTATACTATGTTTTGATATATTATCACCAACAACTTCACTCAAAGATTTACCATTCAAAGCTGATTAAAAAATTTTTCTCTCAAGTTATTTATTGTTCAAGTAGTTTACATCAATTGCAGATGGATACTACTATTTTATCATAGAGAGTTTCGTAAAAATCTTTCTTTTTTCAGTGATATCAAAGTTTGGCCTAAATAATGACGAGAGTCAGATTTTTTTCCTGGCACCAACCTCTGGCAGGCCAGTCCTGGTTGAACGTTTTTCAGGTAGGTTTTCATATTTTAGAGTAACCTTCATACATACATTATTTACCATTTTCTGTAATCTGCACTTTTCAAACATACACAGTACAGCACTTACCCTTTCAATCATGCAATCACAATGAAAATACAATATGCACTTGACAGAAGGATGAAAATGATACACAAGATATTGGCAAGGAAAAAGAGGAAACATCTTTTGCAGTAGTTGAGATTACCTTCCTTGCCAACACCAAAAGTTGCAATGTTGAAAGACACTCTTCCTTGAAAGTTCATAACTTGTTTTGTTTAGGCCAGACCCTTGCCAACATCAACATGGGTGACATTGAAGATTGCATTCAGCAGGGCCAATTGGCCCTTCTGAATTTAAAGAAGAAATGGTAAGATAATCAGCTCAACAAAATTCCTTTATTATTAATCCCATAAAGTAGACACTTGTCATGACTCATATACGAGTCATAGAGAACCATATTAAATCAAACAGTGGCCCAAATTTGCTTGTAGCACCTAACTTACTTTCAGAAAAAACATGCTACATGTACCACTTTTACAGTCCAGGTTTCAAAGTGTACCTAACTGAGGCAAATTGTTCTATATTTTTCTGTCAGCAATAAAAAGGAGGATCAAACCACTAAGATGGATATGGAGGTGAATAGTATAATATTACATACCTCTAAAATGTCTCTAACATATCCTTACAATATGTTGCGTTCCACTAAAGCCAATTCATAAAGTTTTGACATTGATGAATGATAAAAGTATAAGTTTATGTCAACAGAAAAACCAGGCCAATGAACATAGAGAAGTATGTCCTGGAGTGTTCATCAAATATTTAATGTCATGCTAGTGTCTTTGGTGATGAGTAGGAGCAAAACTTTTCATTTTTTAAAAACAATAATTTCCAATATTGCCTACATACTACAAGACCAACCAGGAGATAAAAGAAAGAAAAAAATCTTTCTATAACATTAGGTAAAAAGTTTACATCACTATGAATAGAGAATATTGGAATCAAAAGAACGACTCCATAGATAGCTCCAGCAATGCTTGTAAAGGTAACCTCTCAAAATTACTAGATAATTGCTGCAGTTATTTTCTGGCCGACAGACCTCTTTGGTGTTTTAATTCCCCCTCCTCTCTACTTGGAATGAAGTCAACGAAGTTCAGCAGAACAAAACATAAGAAATGTTTTTCCCTTTTAATTTCATAGTTAAGAGAGGTAAGGGGTCAGCGGGTACTGCCTGAGGACAAAGAGGGCATTACAATAATCCTACGGTATGGCAGTACCCGACTGAAACGCAAATTCAAAGCAACTGCTCTTTTCCAGGTATTTACAGTAACTTGTGTATGAGTGGTTAATATGAATACATTTATGATCAATTATTGGAATGATAAACACAATGTTTCCATCTCTCTCTTCTAGGGATTTACAATAATACATTTTATTCAAGATATTTAGATATTTTATATATGTACATGGTCACTTACTTAGAAATATTAATCTCCTCTTTTCATTGACAAATACTTCCTGATCAGAGGAAACAAAACTGAATTATATTGATTTACAGTTTAACTGAATATTTGAAGTACCCTCAATACATGACAAGAAAAAAGCTGCTCCAGACCCCTAATTCTAGTTTAAAAGGCAACCCACTTTCCAAATGAAAGGAGCACCCGCCCACTGCATGCTATTTTGTATTTTTCCTAGTTACAATTCGCATTAGAGACATTTTTGAAAGAAATTTATCTCTTAACAGGAGGTGTATGACTGGGCAGGGTCACAACAGAATGTGCCCCTAAATTTTACTCTGCAGAGACAAAAGCACGTGGTCAAACACCAAGATCCCCTTCTGGGCAAGGAGGTGCTAGATATCTGCGAGAGGGTACGTACATAAAGTTGTATCTATTATGTTGATTTTTTCTTACACAACAGGAGTCCCAGTAGGGTTCAAATTCTCCCCTCTTTGTTACTGAAATAACATCATAAGACAATAAAATATTATTGCAGCCGCCAAAACCTTTAAGAAAAATAAATAAACCCGTTGATTTAATTAAGTTCTTTAATTTTACTTCAGTTAAAACAACGTACCTTGTCTTTTTCGATTTATCAGAGTAAAAAATTCCGAAATTCTTGATTGGTGCTGGGCGATCTTACACCTCTTTCCACGGTACAGAACCGTCACGAAGTTATTTATCAAACGTTTCAAAGGCTGTTAGCGTCCGTAAAGACACAACAAAACTCCAGTAATGGCCACTACTGTTATTGTAGCTGTGAAAAGCAGTTATCTTTCATCTTCTTTGTCATGTATACGGCACAACGCATATCTTACTTCATATATTCCACACATTATGTAACATGGCTCGACAACTTCGAGATGCTTTGCAACTTCACGAGAAAAGAAGAAAATTTGGGCATGAGCAATCTGAGGAAACGAACGTTTTACTTAGGAATAATATGTATTCTCCGCAATTTCAATTACAGTACACGATATTCAATTAGTGCCTATACTTCAAATGGTGTTTTGCTAGATGGTTTAATAGACGAAACAATCATTTCAGCAGTAACATATCAATTACATCTTCACAAATCTATTTAGGATCCAGAGGAAGCCAAGGCTCTCCTAGATGACCAGGTAGGGAATCTTTTTTGGTTTTACACTGTGTTCTCAATTAAGAGCTTAGTTTGGAATTTATTATTAATTACATGCTGGAACAAGATAAGCATTACCTGACTGCATTTAAGGGCTTAGGTTGGAATTTATTATTGATTACATGCTGGAACAAGATAAGCATCACCTGACAACATTTAAATAAATCCTCACAATTAAAAATTGATTTGTCATTTTCTCCTGGAAAGGGAAATCTTGCAAATCCAACAACTTAGGCAGACAAACAAAACCTTACACTTGACAAATGACTATTGTTTCTCTCCTAAACCACAACACACTCAAGGGAGACTGACAAGGCCGGTTTCCCGACCAGGGATAATGCCTTACTGCCACGACACTTGTTGGGGGATAGGGACAAGACTATTCTCCTGACCAGGGATGAGGCCTTAGTGCCGTGACACTGGGGAGACTGACAAGACCGTTCTTCTCCTGACCAGGGACGAGGCCTCAGTGCCGCGACACTTGGGGGAGATGGACAAGACTGTTCTCCTGACCAGGGACGAGGCCTTAGTGCCGCGACACTTGGGGGAGACTGACTGGACTGTTCTTCTCCTGACCAGGGACGAGGCCTCAGTGCCGCGACACTTGGGGGAGATGGACAATACTGTTCTCCTGACCAGGGACGAGGCCTTAGTGCCGCGACACTTGGGGGAGACTGACTGGACTGTTCTTCTCCTGACCAGGGACGAGGCCTTTGTGCCGTGACACTTGGGGGAGACTGACAATACTGTTCTCCTGACCAGGGACGAGGCCTCAGTGCCGCGACACTTGGGGGAGATGGACAAGACTGTTCTCCTGACCAGGGACGAGGCCTTAGTGCCGCGACACTTGGGGGAGATGGACAATACTGTTCTCCTGACCAGGGACGAGGCCTCAGTGCCGCGACACTTGGGGGAGATTGACAATACTGTTCTCCTGACCAGGGACGAGGCCTTAGTGCCGCGACACTTGGGGGAGACTGACAAGACTGTTCTCCTGACCAGGGACGAGGCCTCAGTGCCGCGACACTTGGGGGAGATTGACAAGACTGTTCTCCTGACCAGGGACGAGGCCTTAGTGCCGCGACACTTGGGGGAGACTGACAAGACTGTTCTTCTCCTGACCAGGGACGAGGCCCTAGTGCCGCGACACTTGGGGGAGATGGACAAGACTGTTCTCCTGACCAGGGACGAGGCCTTAGTGCCGCGACACTTGGGGGAGATTGACAAGACTGTTCTCCTGACCAGGGACGAGGCCTTAGTGCCGCGACACTTGGGGGAGATTGACAAGACTGTTCTCCTGACCAGGGACGAGGCCTTAGTGCCGCGACACTTGGGGGAGATGGACAAGACTGTTCTCTTGACCAGGGATGAGGCCTTAGTGCCGTAACACCTGGGTGAGACTGACAAAGACTGTTTCACTCCTGACTATAAGATTGGCAAGAATGTTCCCCCTTCTGGTGAATGAATAGGCTCTTGTAGAGACAAGACAATCAGAGAGTTTGCCCAGACTTTTCCCCTTTGACAGGGAAAAGGCTCACAGGGAAATTCTCTTTTAGTTATTGAATTTCATTAATTCCTTCAACGCAATTATTATCAAGTGCTCCCAGAGATACTTGAATGAGCTGCATGGTAGGTATGAAAATTTAAGAAGAAAGGGATTTATTAAGTATGTTTGTTTTGAGTGGCAGGGAATTCCCCTAGAGTAATTTTGATACACCATTCCCTATGGAAGATGACACATTGGCATTGACTTGCGTAACACTGTTATAAAAGCTAACAATAACATTAACATTAACATGCAAGACAATGCAAATGGTATCTACTCTAGTGGAAATGTTTGAGGGAGGTATGCTGTACAGATGAATTTGCTTATAAGCTGAATTATTCATCACCATGTTATCCATTTTGTGCAGCATACTTCCCTTCCCTTCATTTCTTTGCAGGTTTGCTTCAAGGGAAATGTGCCACTAGGCAAACAGGAAATCCTGCAAACGACAGTCGAGGGTAAGAATTGTCTTTATGAGGTTTATGGTAGGTTTTCTAGCAAAACTTGTGAACAAAATTATTATCTTAGAAGACTTAAAATGCTCTTTATTGCATCACCTCAATAATGACGTGGTGGTAAAATCCATTACCAATGCCTGAGTTGATTGTTAAAGGGATTAAACCATCATCACTTTTACTGACAGATGAAGACCACCAAGACCATTATAAAAAGGAAAGAAGAATGGAAAAAAGAAGAAAAAAGGAAAGGAAAGAGAAAAGAGAAAAGAAGAAGCAAAAGAGCGAAGAGAAAAAAGACGCAAGAGTAGATAAAGATGGAGAATGTAGAAGAGAAGATGCCAGCATGGAAGGTGAGGAAGGAGAAAAGGTAGAAAAAGAAGAAATAAAGGAAATCAATGCCAAAGGGGAAAAGAAAAAAAGGGAAAAAAGAACTGGCTGCCAAAGGAAGAAGTTGAAGAAGTAGTCAGATGTTGGATAATGTAAGGATATTATGGGGAGAAGTTACTTCTTAATCACTTATAGAAGTTAAAGGGTGAAAAAAATTAATGGAAGTTTTTAACCCTTTAACTCCCGGTGGTGATTCACATAAAACTTCTACCTACAATATCCATACATTCTCCAGCAAACAGGTAAAGAGAATATTAAAACTTATCAGGTAGAAGCTGCTATCTTGATCTAGCACCAAGTTCTCATAACTAATTCACAAGGAAATGTGTAGCAGCTACAGGGGAGGATTAACAATCAGATCTTGGGAGTTAAAGGGTTAAACTAGTTTGTAATTTAATTATGTGAATGTTTGTTATTCATTAAGTATTTAGTGGTTATGATTACTCAGTAAGTAATCATGCATGTTTATAAATTTGAGTATTCTTGTTACCTATTTGTTGGATAACATAAGGATTTTATGGGAAGAAGTTGTTAACCTTTTAACTGCCACGAGTGACCCAGACAGAATTTCTCCCTACAATATTAATACAATATCAACCAGATAAGTGAAGAGACCAAAGAAGAATATCAATTTTGGGTTAATTAGTTGATCAATACTAAATTCTCTGACCTAACATCATAAGAATTGTATGGTTGATAGTAAGGAGAATTAAAAATTCAATCTGGGAGTTAAAGGGTTAATCACTTCTAGGAGTCAAAGGGTGAAAAAATGAATGCAAGTTTTTAAACTAGTTTGTTGTTTAATTATGTTAATGTTTGTTATTCATTAAGTATTTAGTGGTTATAATTACTCACTAAGTAATCATGCATGTTTATAAATTTTGATCAAAGAAAAATATAAATTATTGTTGTTGTGCTGTATCACATTCAACAGATGTAGGGCAGTTGTTAATTAAAAGTTAACTCTCAATCTTTTGAAACTGTTTCTTAATTGTCCCCTCAAGCTGCTACACAATTCCTTGTAGATAGCTTATGCAAATTGGGTATTGGATCAAGATGACAATTTCTACCTGATAAACATGAGTATTCTCATTACCTATTTGTTGGATAATGTAAGGATATTCTGGGGAGAAGTTTCATGTTTATCCCTTCTAGGGGTTAGAGGGTTAAAAAATTAATGCAAGTGTTTAAAATAGTTTGTATTCTAATTATGTTCATGTTTTTTTATCCATTAAGTATTTAGTGGTTATGATTAATCAGCTGGTAATCATGCGTATTTATCAATTATGAATTTTAATAAATTTTGCAAATAACATGTGCACTTTACAATGGCATGTTGAAAGTTATCTTTAAATATGTGGTAGAAAGGGAACGTCAAAGGAGGAGAGCATTTTGTTAGACACTAACATACACCTGTTTCAACAATAAAATGAATGTCCCATCCCTTACCATATCTCTTTTAAATATTCTGGATTATTCTCATATTAACGGGGAAGGGGCTGAGGGGAAGAGAGGTTAAGACCCAAAAAAGTTGCGTCATCATCTGGTCACGAAGTTTCGTAATTTTCGGTAGTTTAGCAGCCACGAAATAAGAAAGAATAGAGAACCCATTTATGGGCGATACACAAGTGTAAGAAAGCGTTCTTAGCTAGTTCCTGCATTACAATGAGCTCGATAACGGTGTCGTAAGAAAACTGATACCGAATAGTTAACATTTCAATTTTTACATTCGCCTGCTTCCCGAGATTTTTTTATAGTGGCAGCGAACTCAAATTTTTGCTTAAGTCCGTTAATCCCAAACTTCATTAACCAGTCGCGTCTTTGAGCTTCTGCAATAGAGTGTAGATGCGCTGCTCCTTGGATACCAGCCTCTCGGTCACTCCTCCGTGGAACAAGACACGACCCACTCTAGCGATTGGACTCTTTAAAACTTTAGAAAACCCCCCTTTTTTTTTCGTCTCACTCAAATTTTTGCTTAAGTCCGTTAATCACTTAAGTAACTTGTAAAAATGAACAATGTGAATCTTACGTGTAAATCTGGTGGTTAGAGTTTAACATTAAAAATTTGGTTGTTGCAAGCTTTAATTCAATGTTTAATGTAAAAATTTTAGATCTAGATGTCTAAAAAGCTGGTGATTGCATGCTTAAGGACTAGGACCGCAAGAACCGTTCCAGGTGCTCACTTCTTAATCTGCGTTTAAAACCTAGATTGAGTAACAAAGTTTAAAAGAATCGTCCAACTGGTTGCATGAGGAAACCATTCAATAATTAATTGTTCTCTGTCCAAATGCTGTTTTAAACTTAAGAAAAAACATGAGACAGGAAAAACCTAATATTTTTTTAAATTTTTCTCTTCACCATAGTTTTTAATATTATCTCTTCCCCTTATATCGAGCATGATCTGCACTTCCCCCTCCCCCCTCCCCCTGCCAGAAAAATATATATCGAGCTCAGTTGCCCGGGAACAAATATTATTCAGCTCGGTCGGACGCGAGCTCGATTTGATTCGAGCGCGATTACCAAATCGAGCTCGATTTGATTCGAGCTCGATTACAAAGGTTGTGACTCGAGCTCGGGTAGGCTTTCGAGCTCGAGTCACTTATATCGAGCTCGGTTGCTCAGGATCCTTCTAGTCGAGTTGTGACTCGAGCTCGGATAGGCTTTCGAGCTCGAGTCACCTATTTCGAGCTCGGTTGCCCAGAAACAAATATTGATCCATATTTATTAGCTTCAGCTTCAGGTAATAAGCAACGTTGAACGCGAGTGGTAGTCCTGTTCAGAGGCTAGAGCTCTTTTTCGCTAATTGATGCGGGAGGTAACTCTCATTACCTTAAACTTTTTTATTTTGTCAAATTTACTAAATTTACTGAACAACTCCTCAGGCAAAATGTGATGACGTTGTTGATTACTTATCACCGATCAAACGGAAAAATTTGATTTTGACCTCGTCCTTAAAGTAAAGAGGAGTGGGCCAAAAATTGGTCTACCGGGTTTTGTAAAACTCTATTTCCAAAGTTGCTGCAATTTAACTTTGGACAATGCTGAGGGTCTCGATGGGGTGATGGCTTTCACGGGTAACGGTTCAAGTTAAATTTTGGCCAATTTACGGCTAACGGTTAATATCTTTCCATTGATGTTACCAGAAGTGTTTTTTTTCGGGTAACTTTTTTTACGACTAACGCTTAAAATTTGTCAATTTTTACACCTAACGGCTAAATTTTTAGGCCATTTTAAGGCTATCGGGTAGCCCAATTAGACCCTCAATACTGTAATAGGAGGATTTAGGCTATTGTCAGTGGCCTTACAAGTCTCAGTATGCGCATGTTGAAGTTATATACGTTATATACCCGAAGGAAAGTGGATTTACCCAAGGGACTGACACAGCAGAAATACGCGCTACTCGAGTCAGACTTGTCTTAGCAATGAAACTCCGAGGGGCGACATCAAATGCCACTACCTAGTTGAGGTCGTCACTACGAGATTCTTGATGTGTGAAATGTCGTCAGTAGCCAAAAATATTTACATTTTCTGCTGCTTTAGTCAGGGAACGAGTACTTCGTGAGAAAAGCTAACATAATAACATTTCTGAAGGATGATAAGAAAGATTTACCCAACTCACCTAAACTTTAATTAGGAAATAAAATCGTCACAAAAAACCCAGAAATATTCAAATATCGAAGGTAAATCAAATACTGTTTGTAAATTCTGAAACTATTCGCAATCAGCCAACTGTAAAACTCGTCTAAGGAAAAAAGATATTTTCTTGAACACAATATTTATTGAATCATATCTTAAAAGGGTTTTTATAGCAACTGCAAATGTCTACTTCAACATGAAGTGTCAAGTTTTTGTTCAATGCCTCTGGATGATCGATCACCTCGAAAAGTTCGACCGCCCTAAAACCTCTGGAATTAGAACTAGTCACGGTATCAGTAAATTATCATGCCAGAAAGTCTGGGGCTTCCACATGTAAGAAGATTTACTTAACTAGTTATAGAACGCGTTTAGGCAAGTAAGTTCGTCACTTGCGTCAATAGGAACTGCATAACAAAAGGGTGGTCATAGCGACTGCGGGAGGCTACTTTGATAGAGATCTTGGAATAATGATAACCTTCAGGTCGATGGTACTTTATAAGGAGCTCAAAAAGTTAAGCTCACATGTTTAGCTCAAACAATAATCAAATGTCATAAAAAAAAAACACAGTAAAAATCTTCAAATAAAGCGAAGATCTTTAGTGGAACTAAATACTAAAAGAAAAACTTGTTTCCCCCCTAAGCATTTAGTGTTGTTTAGGTTCAAAGCGCATTTATGCTTTAGTCACGTAGCCCTTAAACACCTGGATTTGTTTGATGTTATCCCGGCTTATATTGATACCTTAGATTTAAAAGTTTAAAGTGACTAACTTGATCGACGTTAGGAGTTTCTTTTTTGGCTCGAGAATCTTTAAACTCAAGGGAGTGACTGGGTCAAGGTTTGCAGCATAAACACGGAATCTTGTAAGCTACTAAATGCCGATCAAGACGAACTTTGCATATAAAAACAATTCGTGACGACGAAGTTAATTTAGCATTGAATAATTTTATATTGACAAGCCCTTTGTATGATTTTGAGCCTTCCTTGCTGTTTTTTTATTTTCATTTTTTAAAAGATCGAAATAAATCACAGAAAGATCAAAATCTGGTTAAAATATAAGCGACACTCTAGGCTGCTTCTTCTACTAAACATTCGCATAGCAACGTGGATTATTCCATAAACAAAAGACAAAAGCCGAAAAAAAAAAAAAAAACTAAAAAAACACTTTCCCATTTCCAGCCTCTAGCTTCACAGTGTTATGAGTTATATCTATGCCTCTTTGTTAGGGATATAATATATGTATTTTGGATGGAATGTTTTACGGGCGAAAAGGAAATTTGTAATGTTCCTTTCATTTACCAGCACAGCCGCCATCATTACAAATCTTTGTTGATTAATAATAACAAATGAATTCTGGTGAAAAGGGAACATAAAGTAAAAGGAATGTTTGTATAATAAATGCGTCCTCAGTTCTTGGTATGATTTATTTCCTTTGTTATTGACCGGAAACGCTTGATTGCACTCTCAGTCAGACAAACCTCCTAACCCTCTCCCCCAACGCGGTATTTCAAAACTCTTTACACTGACAATTATGCAATTTCCAGATGGTCGACTGGTAATCGTGGGCGCGCATCGAGTAAAGGAGAGGTCATCGAGGCCGTGGGTTCGAATCACGCTACAGGAGTTATTCTTAATCTGGCTTGGGGGCCGAATAACTTCTCCCCGAGTATGATTTGGAGCTTGCGGACAAGGAGTAACTCTCAAACTGGCTTGGGGGCCGAGTAACTCCTCCCCATGGAATATTTGCATTTTTTTTTTTGCTGTCTTTTCTAATCAGCATTTTTAGCAATGTTCTTCCTTTATCTTTTTTTACTCTGAACATTTATTGGGTCACGGAGGCACTTTCTCTGATACGGTTTTTGCAGGTGTTGGTTGTTGCTTTTATTTGTCTTTTTTCTTTTTATTATTATTCTTTTCGAAATTAGATGTTATCTATAGTACACAATTTTACATTCACAACTGAAAATGAAAACTTGACAAATCATAACAAAACTTCTCTCATGTGTATTTTCTGTGAGCGAGTAACGATTTTCTCCCGGCCTGCAGGTCGCTGATGCCAGGTTATAAAAATCTACCCACAAAGAATTCATTCATTGGTAGACATGGCATGACCCGGGTTCGATTCCCGGCGTCACATGTGAATTGAGTTTGTTGTTCGTTCCTGTCCTTGCTCCGAGGGTTTCTCTCCGGGTCCTCCGGTTTTCCTTCATCCGCAAAAACCAACATTTCATTCGATATGTAAACAGCGGACAAGAAGAACCACCTGCTAAATTCTCATTTTATTTGATTTACTTTTATGTGTGGCCATGCAGCCAACTGAGTTTTGAGGATGCAACCAATTACCTAAATTTTCTCAAAAATGTATGCTGTAAGGATGCTATCTGGAGCTGTCTGTTTGATCGGCCACCGAATCTTTGTTTCTTTGTGGACCGTGGTGTAACGATGTCACGGAAAGTTTCAATCTGATCAACCTGACTGCACTAACGATGTCACGGAAAGTTTCAATCTGATCAACCTGACTGCAATCAAGGTGATGATTTATAACTCAAAAACGAGACTTGCCTAATCTGATCATTGCTTACCTGATCAATGCTTTTCCGATCTCTTCCGAGAATAGAGAGACAACAAACGGCCTTAATATATAAATTCCTTTATTTGTGTTACGCATGAACTGAGATCCTACGGTAGTTTTGTGTTATTTTATTTGAATTATGTACGTACAAGAGGATTCTGGGATGGAATAAAAGATGGCGTTCTTTGCAGAACACGTGTAGTAGTTTGACTCACATGAAACAACACAACAGCGCATATATGCCAACTCTCCCGGATACAGAGCCAATCTCCCGCTCTCGTACGGCTGACCAAAACTACCGGATAAAAGGAAGTTTGGATCAGTTGCCCACAAAAAACTAAGATTTAAACTCCATATATTCCAAAATTCCGAAATCATCTGGCTTCTTATGCTTGTATTACGGTTTCTCGCTTCATTTTCTTGTGTCATGCACGTTGCTCGTTGCAAACAAAAGAAAGAGACTTTCTTCTTCGTTACTCCTATATAATCGAGAGTCTGATAGGATGAGTATTCAACCACTTGAAGTCCCTGACAGAGAGAGATCCACGTTTTTCCCGCGAAATTGCTTGGTGAGATGGGGGGGGGGAGGAATGGGGTAGGGGGGGGTAAAAATAAATAAGAAATTTTCGGGGGGGTCGCATTGGCGAATTCGGTCGGGGGGTGCTGCTCCGAAAAAAATTCCAGATTTGAGATCTCCAGACGTTGGCATCTCTGCAACAGTTATTATTACAAAAAAATTGTTTTCCCTTGCAATACAGAAAACCTGCAGCATCCCAGATATCTATGAGTATCCTGTTCCCAAGAGAAAGATGATTCAAGAATAAAGTGACTAACTGACATTCAACCCATAACTAAATAGCATGATAACTAAAAAATGGAAAATTTGGCCACTAGTGTCCAAAATCCAAAATCCAAAATCCAAAATCGGCCATTAGTATCCAAATTAAAAAATCGTTCACTTGTGTCTAAAAGTAGCCACAAAAATTATATCTTTAGGTCTACTGGTATAATTTGCAGATTCAAACGGTAAAAATGCTCCCTCTTCTAAAAACAAAATTTATCTTTTAAGTTTTCAAGATACCCCGATCACACTTTTTAAGATATTTCTGCAAGGAAAAACTATATTTAACGAGCCCCGGCAGACGAGGCCGTCCGCAATTGTGACGTATGCCAATAATCCCCGTTTACATCGCTTCTATCAGTTCTTTGTATGATTCATTTCAGTTCTTGATTAATCTAACAAACGAACGCTACTTCTAGTGCAAAGCGAACAGAAAGTAAATGAAAGGTATGTAAAACAAATGCGTCCCCTATATGAATTTTGAACGGTATGTTATGTCATACCACAGCGTTAAAAATGAGTGAAACCTGGTGTGTAACATTGTCCCAATACACTTATTTGATAGCCTCTTGGAAAAGTGTCCGAATCGTCGTGTTTCACAAGCCCCGGCATATGAGACCGTCCGCCACCGGAACATATGCAAATTTTTGCTCTCCTTTATTCGCTTTTCTCAGTTCTTTGAATTATTAATTTCCTTTATGCTCGATTGCACTCTCAGTCAGGAAAACTTCCTCACCCTCCCCCCCCCCCCAACCCGGTATTTAAAAACTCTCTACACCGACAATTTTTACATGCAATATATGTAGTTTCCAGATGGTCGACTGGTAATCGTGGGCGCGCAACGAGTGCAAGTGAGGTCATCGAGGTCCGGGTTCGAATCACGCTATAGGAGTTATTCTTAATCTGGCTTGGGGGCCGAATAACTTCTCCCCGAGTATGATTTGGAGCTGGCAGACAAGGAGTATTTCTCAAACTGGCTTGGGGGCCGAGTAACTCCTCCCCGTGAAATTTGCATTTTGTTTTTGATGTCTTTTTCAATTTTCCCTTTATTATCATTAGAATTTTTCTTCTTCTTTTTTTATCCTTTCTTTTCTGAGTAGTTATTCTTGTAAGCCATTTCTGATACGGTTTGTGTACGTCAGTCTTCATGTCATCCCCACACGCGGGAAATCACGCGAAAACTAAATCATCTGAGATAAATCCGTGAGATGGAGAAGTCCGTCCCTCCTTTTAGGAGAAGGCTGGTGTGGAATTCTGGGAATGGGACACTACTTTCCTCACTAACATCAATATTTTTTCTTCACTGAAATTCTTGACTCGCGCGGCGGACTCCGCCGGAAAGTAGAGACTGCTCGTAGTCTACATACTTGCATGAGATGAGAAATTGGCCTCTGTCCTGTTTTGTAAATATATCTAGAAACGCACAAGTATGGAATATAGAGCCATATGGAATCTATCTGTAATTATTTACAGCACTTCTAAACACTACTGCACTGTACTGGTTGTGATCAATGCACAAATAGACCCCCCGGGAGAGCACTACTTAAAGTTTTTTAGAATCAAGTTTTTAACCAAAAGGCTGTTCAGACTAAGTAAAGGGTGACCACATTAATTTGATAGAGGTGACTGCTTAATAGAGGTGAAAATTACTTTAATTGACCATTCAATACAGATGGATAATGATGCAAACAGCCTGTTGGGACTTAGTAAAGGGTGACCACATCTCCTTGATAGAAGTGAGCACTTAATAGAGGTGAAAATTACTTAATTGACAATAGGCCATTTTACAGTTGTGTACTTAGTTGCCAAGCCTTTGATTTGGAGTGAGGCTGAGGGTGACCTTGTTGTGTTAGAGACCAGAATCTAGTTAGCATGATAACAAATTAATTTGCATTTCAAAAGCAGCAAGGTTTGTATCATAACAAGGTCACCCTTAGCCTCACTCCTGTTCAAAGGCTTGGCAACCAAGCACACAACTGTAAAATGGACTATTCAATACAGATGGATGATGATGCAAACAGGTTTTTGGAACTTAGTAAAGGGTGACCACATCTCCTTAATAGAGGTGACTGTTTAATAGAAGTGAAAATTATTTTATTTGACTCTTCATTACAGATGGATGATGATGCAAACAAGCTGTTGGAACCTGGTTAAGGGTGACCAAATCCTCTTGATGGAGGTGACTGCTTAATGGAGGTGACTGCTTAATGGAGATGAAAATTACTTTAATTGACCATTCAGTACAGATGGATGATGATGCAAACAGCTTGTTAGGACGTAATAAAGGGTGACCACATCCCCTTGATAGAAGTGAGTGCTTAATAGAGGTGAAAATTACTTTAACTGACTATCCAATACAGATGGATGATGATGCAAACAGGCTGTTGGAACTTAGTAAAGGGTGACCACATCCACTTGATAGAGGTGACCGCTTAATAGAGGTGAAAATTACTTTAATTGACTCTTCATTACAGATGGATGATCATACTACAAACAGGCTGTTGGGACTTAGTAAAGGGTGACCACATCCACTTGAAAGAGGTGACCACTTAATAGAGGTGAAAATTACTTTAATTGACTCTTCATTACAAATGGATGATCATACAAACAGGCTGTTGGAACTTAGTAAAGGGTGACCACATCCACTTGAAAGAGGTGACCACTTAATAGAGGTGAAAATTACTTTAATTGACTCTTCATTACAAATGGATGATCATACAAACAGGCTGTTGGAACTTAGTAAAGGGTGACCACATCCACTTGAAAGAGGTGACCACTTAATAGAGGTGAAAATTACTTTAATTGACTCTTAATTACAAAAGGATGATCATACAAATAGGCTGTTGGGACTTAGTAAAGGGTGACCACATCTCCCTGAAAGAGGTGACCGCCTAATAGAGGTGAATATTACAATGGTTAAGGGGAAGCAAATTTGGGACTTTGATAAGCCAATGCTTAAAATAGCTGATACAGGGTCACCTCTTAATACAGTGCTGCTTGACATAGGTTTCGACTGTTACAAAGACACAATATAGGATATTAACACATGGGTCTCGCAATTATTTAAAAGCACTAATAAAACAAAAGGGTAAAATTAAACATATGGTTTAATATATTTATTTCATTGAATCTTCGACTACTTATAATTAACAGTAACTTTAAGAGGTAGCAGTTTTCCTGTCCCCAAAATGCTCTCCAGTAATGTTGAAATTGTAGTGAGATCTTCAAGCATCATTCTTGTATTATGTGAGACATCCTGCAGATAAAAGAAACATTATTGTTGTGTAAGAACAAACTGAAAATGCCTCTAACAATTCAAAGCTTCAACCTCTATATTAATTAAGAGATAAAACACTTGTATTGCACTGGAAACACATTCCCACCCCTCAAGGAACAGACAATGGTCAAAGGCTGTGGGTTGCTGGGGGGAGGGGGGGAGGTATGATGAAGCTTCAAGTTGATTAGTGCATAACCATATAAATGAATGAATTACCACTGCAGCTGTCTGTGCTCTGCTGAGATGAAAGGTGGAGCTTTCAAGTTTAGAACCTGCTGACTTGTAACTCTTAGTTAAGCCTTCCACAAGGTCACTTCGCAGCTCCAAATTTCTTTCTCCTGGAAATGACAGTAAATGGTGAGAAAAATTCAAAGGAAAGTATGAATGAAAACTAAGGGTTGGGGGGGGGGGGGAAAGTTTGGGTTTGAGCATGGAGGGAAAAGCTCAAACCAAGAGTATTCTGTGGGTGAAACGAAACCTGTCTATTCCAATATAACCTTCCACTTTAATTGGATACTAAATTTCCCTTACCCCTACCCCTACCCCTACCCCCTACCCTGTACCCCTACCCTGTACCCCTACCCCGTACCCCTACCCTGTACCCCTACCCATACCCATACCGCTATCCCATACCCCTACCCTGTACCCCTACCCCTACCCCTACCCCTACCCCATACCCCTACCCCTACCCCTACCCACTGAAAGGTTTTTTCACAATACATGCCTTGCTAACAGTTTCTTGAGCAGTTGAATGTCATGGAACAAAGTTAGAGCAGTCTTTGATTGATTATGGCAAAACAAAACCAATGCCAATGTCATGACCAGGGCTAATCAGAACCAAGGCTAAAACCACAACAAGCAAATAAGAACTCAAACTAAAAAGAAGAAAATTGCCTATGGTGCAGAAAAAAAAAACAAATAAAAATTGGTTTTACGTTGAAATCTGATTGGTTGAAAGGATGACGCAAGATTTCTTGACCAATCATAGAACAGAGTAGAGAAAAAAACAGTCCAATCCCTGATCAATTTTGAGAATCAACTGAATGTTACTCTATCAGGTCATATGCAGTGTACATGTATATAGCAATATCTGTGTTTAATACTTACTCAGTTTCCGGTGGAATGGACTATCATTTGAAAGATACATTGGCAGTGTCATATCGAAAAGCAAAGCAAACAAATGCAGTGTCAAAATTAATTAATATAACAGTTGTAAAATACCAAACATGCATACAATACAAATTAATGTTCTTATGTTCAGTAGCAAGCAAACATTTAACAATTTTAAGTAAAACTGGTTTGTTTGATAATATCTTGCCACCTTTTTGTACAAAGTTGAAAAATAAACTGGTATACATTAGCAATTTCTATAAGCTATTTCTAAAAGTTTGGCAGATGATATCTGTGACTATCCCTGTAATGCACTGAAGTAATACTCACACTCCTTGGTATTGTGTCACTGTTTCATTCTATAGAATACTTAAGTTTCATTTTCACTCAATTGGTCCACACCAAAGGCAATAAGCCATGAATAAGGTGCTTATTGCAATGTCATACTTGTGTAACAGTTTCATATTACAATGCTGCTCTACATATGCATAGAAAGTAATTTAAAGAATCTGACATTGATTATTATATGTATAAAGGGCATAAATGAGTTGAATACTTACGAATCAAACTTATAGACAATTTTCTGTCTCTTGGCTTTCCCTGCACTTGTGTCCTGTTCAGATTCCAAGATGTCAGTGTCTGCATCTCCTTCCTCTTTTAAATGTTTATCTTCTGTCACCAAATCTTCATCTTCTTTCATATTTCCTGGATTTTCCTCATTTTCCTCATCTTCATCATCAGTTTCAGATGCTTCTCCGCTGACCATTGTGCTACTCACCATGGTATTTCGCATAAAAGATGTTGTGTTTGGTTCGCCTTCCAGGCTAGAAGCAACATCTACGCCTTGTCCTTTTTGTGCTTCATTTCCTGTTGATTCACTCCTAAAGATTGGAAAAAAATTAAGAGGCTGAAAGCCTTAAATGGTCTTATAGTCCACACTACAGTTACACTTTTACATGAATTATACCAGTCTGTACAGGGTTCAAGATAAGGAGTCCGTACACACCATAAAATAGCAATTCATGATGGATCAAACAGCACTTGTCTGGGTAAGTAACATACTGTATGGGTCTCCCTCTCCACTAATCCACTAAATTCTATTCAGAATATGGAATAATGCGTGAAATCTACATTAAAGAGACATCAGAGTTTTTCTGTTTCCCGTCTAGTCAGTTTAATATGAGTGTCCATCTCCACTAATACACTAAATTCTATTCAGAATATAGAATACTGCATGAAATCTACATGAAAAGAACATCAGAGTTTTTCTGTCTCCCGTCTAGTTAGGTTAATAAAGGTTTATAGCAAACGAAGTGAGCCCTGCGACACTCCGGAACTCCTAATCCTTCAACAAAACTAGATCTCTTGAAGATCAGAGCGAAACTAGTAAAATCATGGCTGGTAATTTTTTTAATGTTGTTTTCATGTTCCGCAAGACAAGTCAGGCTGATCATATTTGGAGACCCAAAAAGAGCAAGAGCTATACCATTCATAAGATATTAATTTCTCTATTCAATCATCAAATAATTTCTTTAAATCCTCTCATTATAAACACTCGTTATACTTACATCTCCGGATGAATCCCTGTTTACCTTTTGCGATAACATTGGGACCTCAACGTGTTACCATACACAAAGTAAATGTAATTTTGACACAGTACCTCTAACTGTTGTACTGTGGGCTCATCATGTAAGCCAATATGGCAGACAAAATTTCAGCTAAAGTCAAGGAAGGCCTTGTGTTTTCTTGAGGATTTATTTTCAAGTCCTCAATATGCCTCCAATAGAACTTCCAAGATTAACAGGGTCACTAAGGGCATTCTCAGGGCTTTCCTCGCCGTTTTCACGGCTTCCAGAGAGTGATGATATCTTGAAAAGAAAGAGGCAATCGAGATCGAGGAAGCAACTTGAAAAAACTTTGTCTTGGTCTGAATTAAAAGGTTTGATTTTAGATGCAACGAGCCTCGATAGGAATGCTTCACAAGAGGTAGGAAGAGATAAGTTGTGGAAACTTTTTCCATCGATTATATTCGTGCAACATAGATTAGGTCGCATGAATTAATTTAATTTTTCATATAAATATATATATTTTTGTAAATAACAATATTTTTATATTTAAGGCGAAGACTCTCGTGAAGGAACTTGTGCTTACATCTGCAGAAATTGGTAGGAAACTTCACATTTGATTAAACTAAATCAAACAAAATAGTTATGCTTAAATGTATTGTACGGAAATGGTATTGTCCTTGATATATGATGGTGCAATAACGGAACTGCATGAACATGTGTCAGGAACACATATCACTGGCGCCTCAAGCTCTCTCAGAGATTAGGCTACATAAAAACTATAATCTGTTTTGTTTGTTCGTTTTTTTATTTTTTTAAGCCTCTTGTGCTTCCATGATATTTTGAGAAGGTGTGCTGATAAATGATAAACATATATTAAGAATCAGTAAAATGTTTAACACAGCCTTATACACACTTATTTCGGTAATTTTGAAGAAGAGCTCCCCAAAAAACCTGTTGGCCGACTGTTGGTCAACTGTCGGTCGAGAAACCGAGAGAAAACATTAAGGTTTGTGTTAATGTTTTACCGACAAGCTACCAACAGGTTACCGACACATTACCAACAGTCGGCTGACTGTTGGCCGACTGTCGGCCGACAGGTAGCCTATATTTCAGGCAAAACCTGTTGGCCAACTGTCGGCCGACAGACGACCGACAGTCGGCTGATAGGTTTTTTGGGGAGTTCTTCTTCACAATTACCCTTATTTCAATGTTCATGTAGTACCTGGATAAAGAAAACAGTGATGACAATGAGAAAATACCTTTGAGACTATGGCTTTAGTTTGACTGTAGTATGTGGCTGTGTGGAAATGTTAACTAAGAATCCTGTTTAACCTGTGGCAATTGTGGTTACTTATTTGAAAGGGCTGAACATTTGTTTTTTGGATGTGTTCTAGCTGGCAAAGATTCATCTGTAGAGGTTGTGGAAAGTGCATCAGTATTAATTTTTACAATATTTAAAGATGTGAATCACATTGGAAAGGATGAAAGTGCAAAACTGAAGAGTCTCTTTGGAGCATTTCCAGCCTCGGCAGCAACTAAAGCTTGTCACATTGTGCAGAACATCATTTTACTTCTTCCTGAAGATTGTCTAGCAGTAATTAACAAGAGATGTGAGGAAAAACATGAGGAACCTTTAAAAGAGTTTGGAAGTGATATTGAGTTTGCACCTTTTATGAGCAAGGTCGTTTCACCAGATGATGAGCTGTTTTCAGAATCTGAGGATGAAACTGTTCAAAATCAGACAAATTTTTGGAATTCAAAAGAAGGAGAAAATCCTTCAAATATGGCACTAAGTGAAGAAGTGAATGGCAACAGTGACATTAATGGTTCATGGCTACGTAATCAGTGTGAACTTTATTTTGGAAATAATAGCACTGGACTGTCAGTTTTGGATCTTTGTTCAGCACTTTTTGATATTCTCAGTTCTGATAGAGATAATGCAGCTATTCAAAATGACTTGTTTGAGCTTCTTGGGTTTGACCGCTTTGAATTCATTCAAACACTCTTAGCTGACAGATACAAGATAGTTGTAGCCACCTCTGAAAGTACCTCTGACTTGAGTGCAGCAAATGGTAAGTTGTAAATTATAGATCAATGTCAGTATCTGAGCAACTGCACATCTATATATACATGTACCCCTCCCTTACCCAATATGAAACCTGACTTCATATTAGTTGACTGTTATTGGGCTAGGGAAGGGTCAGGTATGTAGTTGCTTGAATACTGACATAGATTCAAATTACATGCCATTCAACTTGTATAAGCCAAAATGTTGACTTTTGTTGAATCAAAAAATGGTGGTAGTTGTACAATTTGAGCTCCAGACTTTTCCCTATGGCAAATGTAGCTAATGTTTGCTTGCTGTTTCTGTTTATGGCATGTAATTTCAGAGACTACTAAAGTGAAAACCTCAGCTGGTCGAAGTAAGCCAACTTATGGATGTCAAGTTACTGTACAGGTGGGTTCAATTACAATTAGTTAAAAGAACATTTTAACTGAGTTATTGACCATGAGTGTAGCTGGCATTTTTAGTCAGCAGCCAATTTCACAAGTGCTAGTGCAAGTAGAAAGTTCAGTACAGCTGGAGCTTTAAATTCATGAGCATTTTTGTTAGCAGCTGTTTTTCAGAAGTTTAGGGCAATTTAGTAGCAGTTGTTTTCAAGTGATGCCCAACTGCACCACTCTCTTCTTAAAGAGACCAGCTTCCAGCCTGTTGAGTCAATAAAAATCATTCTGCTTCAGTGTTTTTCTCTGATTTTTTAAGATCTTATTGAATTACTTTGTATAAATTTTTGTTCATAGTCACAACAGGAGAAACAATTGATGCGGCAGGTGAGAAAGGAAGAAAGAAAGGAGGAACGTCGCCAGGCTCGCAAAGACAAACACACAGATGAGCAGGATATTGATCATGAGACATATCTTAGGGAAGTTGGCTTTGATCCAGAGTTGATGAGAGCTCAGAGGTGCATATACCTAAATATTGTAGCTTTATCCCTGTCACCCTTAGGAGAGGGACTAAGTAGGAATTTCTTATCACCGTATCAATACAATTTCATTCAGAAAGGTGATAAGAAGATAGAGAAATGAAAATAAAGTGGGAGCTGCTGCTTAAAACCATAAAAAATATGTGGTGTATAGTGTAGAAAATTGATATATCAACCTTGGGTTGTACATGCAGTGTTCTCCTTTTCAGGCAGTAACCGGTAACATTTACTGCCTTGAAGTACCACTTAATACCATTTAAAATTGCTTGGAATTCTTGAAAATTCAACAAGTAAAAGGATTGCTTTACCGGTTTGAAAATTTATTTTACCTATCATGCTTAAAATAAGGGAGAACACTGACATGAATGTGTATATTATGATGCAAATGCTAATTCAGAGGCCTAGCTTATCTAGACAAGTATGACATTTTCTCTTAGAGGAATAACCAATTATTGTCATAATAGTACATGTAATTTGAAGTAAGTAAAAGCCTCTCAATACAACTATCAGCTCTCTCCTTAGTAGTATAGTTGGTTCTGCAAGGTTAAGGAGGCAAGCAATTTTCTTTGACCAAGGTTACATCTATTATTGTTGTTGTCAGGGAAATTGCTCTTCAAGAAGCCTCCAGTGCACCATTGTTGTCAAAACCAAAGAGGAATGTGCAGCCCAGCCAAGTGTATCCATATGTGTTTGATGCTTTGGCTGAAAGGCAGCGATCTACAGCTTTTATTTCAGACACCAAGGTACCACTTTCTTTCCTTGCATTGGTACATGGTTAGTTGAGTAATCCCTGCAGATGAAACCTGAACTTGTAGCTCCTAACATGTGGACAGTATTTCTCCTTCTTCTTCCTCTTAAATTCCTTTTAAATTGATTGAGAGAGTTTGGGTTTGATGATGATGCCTTCTGACTGATAGGTTTGGGTTTTCTTATAACCTGCTTGCTGGATTATGTATTGATATTGTAAGGAGAAGTTTCATGGTGATCATCCATGAGGTTAAATGATGAATGTGCGATTAAATCACTTCGTGCAAAGAACTCTATTAGTGACATGCCTCGGACTTGGAATCTGCATAATTTTTGTTTTATTAGTTTTGAGTATGTCTTTTCTGTTTATAGGTTATTTATTAATTTTTGTATATCACTGTTGTACTTGTGTATTAAGAATTCAGGTTATTAAAACCCAAAGTCTTCAATGGTAAAACGTTGTCTTCACTTTACAGCACACCGTCTCCTATCAGAGATCTTACAGTTGTATCCACCATATGAAGTGCAAATCAGTGCCCAAAAAAAATATTCGGCTTTACAATATTTGTTAAATTTATGCTTATGTTTCTTGATTCATTTTAGATTGCCCTGCCTGCTGATGCAGAACGGAAAAACACTAAAGTTTATGAAGAAGTTGTGATACCTCCAAACACTCCTTTACCACCTAAAGAGGAAACTCCTATTTTAATTTCATCTTTAGATGAGGTGAGTGTTAGATATTATGAAATGTTTAAATGTTTGAATGAGCATATCACAAATACTTCACCTTAGTAAACAGCTATTGGAAATAGGGTTTGATAAAGGTAATGTAAAGTACATTTCGTCTGAGTTTCGTGAAACCAAGACGAAAACAATCTCAACAGCCAGGTAGACCAAAGAAAAATAAAACAGTTTTCAACTGATTGTCGAAAACAAATACTAACATCATCACTATACGATGAGAACTCAAGAAAAAACAAGCGAATTGTCAAAAGCACGGGAAGAGCGGATGACCAAGTCACGTGATGGCATGTGATGGTGTAAGATATGGGTGTAAGTTTTCTGGACCACTCACAGAGCGAAGTAAAGGAAAACCAAAGCAAACGCGGATTACTTGCGGCACTCAGTCGAAAATTGTTTTGTCACAAGGAGCCTACCAGAACTAAAAGTATCACAGGGAAAGAGTGAAAAGCCCGCGAAAACGTGTGACTTGGTTGCGATTGGTTTTTAGTCTTGAATCTGATTGGTTGAGAAACTCGCGCGAGTTTTCTGGAACAATCATTGAGCGAAGTCAAGCATACCAAAGAAAGCCCGGAAAAGCATTTGAAAATTGCTCATATTAGGGTTCGAAGCTGGAACTGGCGATCCGTAGTCTAGCGTGCTAACCTTAAGGCTCCTACGCCTCCTCTACCATGTCATACGTTAGGGACAGTCACAATCAGTTGAAAAACCTCATTGTTTTGCTTTTTCATCCTTTGCAGATTGGCAAAATGGGATTCCAAGGAGTGAAGCGCCTTAACAGGATCCAGTCGATTGTATTTGATGCAGCATACAACACGAATGAGAACCTGTTGATAAGTGCTCCAACAGGTGCAGGAAAAACAAACATAGCTATGCTAACAATTTTGAGGGAAATTAAACAGAACATTGAGGCAGGAGTCATCAAAAAAGACAAGTTCAAGGTTGGGTTGCATTTATTTGAATTGATAACATCAACAATAAGAATGATAAGGTTCTGATAATTCTGTATTCAAGGTTACAAATCAGTTGATGGTGAGAGTCAGTCCTATGTCAGTCGTAAGTAAAGAAATAATCGTTTGCCAACCAATGCAAACAGGTGGTTAAAAAATATCAGTGAAAAAGAACTAGGGTGGTTATTGCAAACATGGTGAATAAACTTGAAAATTTTTGGTATATTTGAAAATGAAGGGTGTAAGGAATTTTGAAAAGTCGTCTTTTGAGTTCTGTGGAGGAACGGTTGAATGCGTTTCCAAACTCGTTAAGGCGGTTGAGTTATCCTATCCGGGTTTCGTTAATCAACGGATATCTCACTTGCCTGCCTTAGATGTGTGATTCACTGTTTGCATGTCTTTTCCTTTAGATCATTTACGTGGCTCCAATGAAGGCTCTCGCGGCTGAAATGGTTCAAAACTTTGGAAAGCGGTTGGCCTGCTTAGGAATCACAGTCCGTGAACTTACAGGGGATATGCAACTTACAAAATCTGAAATCCTCAAGACGCAAGTATGATCAGCCACTACATTCATTTCTAACCAAAGAAATTGACTTCAAAGATATCTGTAATTCTTGAGCTCCTCCTACATTTTTAATGTGCGTGTTACCCACCCGTGTCACATAACTTTTACCCTTTGTACAGATGCTGATCACAACGCCAGAAAAGTGGGACGTGGTGACTCGTAAGAGCACTGGGGACGTGGCTCTTTCTCAGCAAGTAAAGCTGCTGATCATTGATGAAGTCCATCTTCTGCACGATGACAGAGGCTCAGTTATTGAATGCTTAGTAGCCAGAACTCTTCGTCAAGTGAGTTAAATGCTTACACATTAACGGTTTTTCTTTTTTTTTACCTAATTGAGTAGTTTTAGAAACCATGGAACCATCCTAGCAATTGATCTGAGATATTCCCCTTTTTGGCAGTTCATCAACTAATAGAGTTAGAGTAAACATACCAAAATATGACAGAATGTTATATAGAGAGTGCAGAGTGCAATTGTGGTGTTTAATCCTAGTTATATGTCACTGATTAAAACTAAGCGGACACGAAACAAGCAAAACCTTACGATTACTTGAAAAAATTAAGCGTGGGTCTACCCACGTGGGCTAACCAAAAACCAAAAACGCGTTGGAAGAGTCAGCCACGCGAGTTCTCGCTTCCTCCGCGTGTGGCTTCAGTTTTCCTTCGCATCTCGTTTCTTCAACCAACGCGCGACTTGCTTCATACTTTTCTACTGTTTGTTTCAACTTAGGTTGAGTCGTCACAGAGCATGATCCGTATCGTTGGTTTATCAGCAACACTTCCTAATTACATTGATGTGGCCCACTTCTTGCGGGTCAACCCTTACGAGGGTCTGTTTTTCTTTGACGGACGCTTTCGTCCAGTCCCACTCGGGCAAACGTTTATTGGGATTAAAGCAACGGGCTATGTTAAACAGCAACACGACATGGACACAGTTTGCTACGAAAAAGTGCTGGAAAATGTTGACAAAGGACACCAGGTGAGATCTAAAGTGGTATTTTTTCTTGGGCAGGGATAGTGATTTCGGCCAGAATCCCTACACTTAACACCAGCATTTAAAGTGGCCAAATTGCCTGCTTAATAGAGCGCTCAGGGTATTAAATGCATCATGGTCTTCCTCCAAGGATCACTGACAATGACAATGATCTGATTTCCATGAAGAAAACATAATCGCTTCCGATTTTCTCAATTTGACTGCGATCAATTCAAACGGTCATGGACGTCGGCAATTTCGAGTTTTCATTGAAATCCAAAATCTAAGACGGCTTGATTGTTTTTTCTTTTTATTTTCTTCTTGTAATTACTTGTTACTGTGCAGCCTTGTTTTTGAAGCTCTCACCTTGCCGTCCTTATTAACAGGTTATGGTCTTCGTGCATGCGCGGAATGCTACCGTCAAGACAGCGCTGACATTACGAGAGATGGCAGCCAATCAGGGAGATTCTGCTTTGTTCCGTGCTCCACAAGGGCCTGAATACGGACAAGCTGAAAAACAGGTTTGTTGTCTACTGGGTGGAGTTGGATAGAGCACTTTTGATCGGCCGTATTCACTTATTCAGGGCAGGTTTAATTTTATTTCTAAAGAAGTCACGTTGTGAAAGTTTGAATCATATTTATTTTACGCTTTGCAAAACTTCGTCAACTTGAAGGGGACCAAAATATTCTTTCAGAGTGATGGAAAAATTCAGTTCGTTTACCACTATTATCGCCTTTACAAGTTCTCCCGCACTGAAATACTCTTGGATTAATTCGCAGGTGATGAAATCGCGTAACAAGCAGCTGCGAGAGCTGTTTCCAGACGGGTTTAGTATCCATCATGCTGGAATGTTGAGACAGGACCGCACTATGGTGGAACAGCTGTTTGCTCGTGGTTTGATTCGTGTTCTCGTTTGTACGGCTACCTTAGCCTGGGGAGTAAACCTACCAGCTCATGCTGTAATTATTAAGGTTAGAACTTGTGTAAAGACTAACGTTACTTAGAGTACCGCCCACGTGTATTGCAGCATTACACGCGCTTGATGCACGCACGGTTCCCATTCATTACACGTACGCGTGTAATAAAAAATGCATGCAAGTGAGAGTAAGAGCAGGTGGCTAATTGATCGGTGTAGTAGAAAAACTCTTTTGACACGATCTAAGGCCATGTGTAGTTGAAATTGAACCAACATTTTCAGTCGATTGATTCTTATGGTAAGTTCATAATAATTTTGTGTCACTCTCCACAGGGCACGCAAGTATATGACGCAAAGAAAGGCTCGTTTGTTGATATCGGCATACTGGATGTGCTGCAGATATTTGGGCGGGCAGGTCGTCCGCAATTTGATAATCAAGGCGAGGGAATCATCATCACAGCACACGATAAACTCAGTCATTATCTTTCACTTCTAACAAGACAGTCACCGATTGAGAGTCAATTCATTTCGAGCCTGACTGATAGTTTAAATGCTGAGGTAAGATGATGATGAAGGGTCAGTCAAAAGAACGTGTTTTGAAACAAAGCCAGGGGCGGGAAAACAATGCTAAGCGTTGAGGGAAAGGTTATCAGTTCGAAGCGCAGGAAACATCTGCAAAGGGCGGGAAAAACAGTGCAGACAAACAAGTTCGAAGCGCGGGAAAGATCCTACTGCTGAAAAGGGCGGGAAAAACAATGCAGAGCGCAAAAGAAAACCAGTGCATGCATATTACCCTTGCAAAACCGTTATTTGGTGGGTAGCGCGGGTACTTGGTCAACTTCAAGGGAGATAGAACATCTTACGTGCGTCTCTTTATGTCTGAATTGCTTGGAAATGTTCTTCATTAACCCTTTCACTTAAGAATTCTCCTAAGTGTCAACCATATAATTCTAAATATATTAGTGTGGAAAATCGGGTTTTAGATCATATAAAAATCCCCCAATTGATATTTTTCTTTATTCTCACCACTTGTCCTTGTTATTGAATTGATATTGTAAGGAGATCGTGTGTTTTAGTCAGTCATAGGGGTTAAAGAGTTAAGAGGGAATAGGAGGAGATGATTTATGCTTGTGTATGAAACCATTAATGTTTCCGACGATATTTGCCGAAGGCGATGATGGATCTTATTTTTAGAGAAGTAGTCTGAACTCATTCCGTTACCACCTCTTTATTGAATTGCAAATTTAATTCCTGCCTGGCAGATTGCTCTCGGTACAGTAGGCACAGTGGATGAAGCTGTTGAATGGCTGAGCTACACGTATCTTTACATTCGAATGCGCATCAATCCACTGGTTTATGGCATCGCGTATGGAACCAAAGAGGTTTGTCCGTTAAGCTGTATCTATCGTCTTAGAAAACTTGTCTTTTGTATTTATTTTGATAGAGAAGACTAGGGAAAACTTGGCGCTGAGAAACTGATTAACCTTTTACACCCTGACATCAGTCTGCCTCTTGTCCATACTGTTATCTATACATTTCCTAAGGTGTTGACAGGGAGAGTTTATTTAACCATCAATCAATATCTTCTTTAACTGGTGATCATTTCCTTTATTCCCGTGACCCTAACGTTTGATTCAAGGATGATACTGTAAGGAGAAATTAGATGCCAGTCATTCGGCTCAGGGGTAAAAGGGTTAAGAAAAACTTTTGATTATAAAACTTTTAACAACTGTTATTGTTTTTATGTGCTTCTCAGGATGACCCACTCCTGCACGAACATCGCAGAGAGCTGATTGTAAATGCAGCGCGTCATTTAGACAAAGCAAAGATGATAAGGTTTGATCCGCGCACGAGATATCTGAACTCGACGGACCTTGGAAGAACTGCCAGTCATTTCTACATCAAGTACGACACAATAGAGGTAAGATGATCATGATAGACGCAGACACACAACGAGGAAACATACAAAGAAGTAACGATGAAAAATCTCTTGCAAACCAAGAAAAATTGACTGACTGACTGACCGACTGAATCGCAGTCGGGTAAAGACCTATAGAAAACTGGGTGACTGACAGATTAACAGACAGATAGACTGACTTTTGGCTATCTGTTTGTCTTTTTAGATTACAGACGTTCTGATAGACCGGTTGTTTGACTGCATGTCTGTCTTGTTAGATGACAGACGGACATACAGTCTGGCTAGGAGAGATTTCCCTAATCACGTTATATTGCCTCATGCCCCAGACCTACTCTTTCGTTTTTTGATGTTTTTCAGGCCATATTATCAATGTACTCGTTTCAATTCAGTGTGTAGCTCTCATTCTCTGAGTGAAACATGGTAGACAATTCCTATAACCAACTAAATATTTTCGTCTCAAGGACCGTAATTTGAGTAATCGTCAACCAGTTACAATCTACATCCAAACGACTTCAGAGGGACTGTCCCCTTTAGTAGTTTAGTTTCTTTTTCTTTCAGGTATTCAATGAGATGTTCAAGGCGCACATGCCTGAACCCGATGTGCTTTCCATGATGTCTCACTCACAAGAATTCGAACAAGTCAAGGTTAATTTCAACTCTTCAATTTTGATGTTGAATGCAGTTAGAAAATGAATTAGAAATGAGATAAGCTTTAAGAATGGCAATCCTTGCGGCTCTTAAAATTTGATGTACTCTTTCTTTTTATCCACAAGCCCCCAGAGTTAAATCTTTTTTCAAAATTAATTTTACATCGTTAATTTTAGTTGTTGCTATGGAAGGGTTTCCATTGTTTTAAAATTTCGGAATAGATTTTTCCTTCGGACGAATCCGTACAAAAGCCGACTTCTCTCGGTAGGAGCGTTAATTTAATTGATAACCCTTCTCTCATCCGCCAGTTTGCGCGTTTTCCCTTTCATGCATCCACGGACCAAAAAAAGAAAATAAATTCTGATCACTGGTTACATGAAGACCTCAATTTTTCCTGAGAACTCACCTAAATAAACGTGACACTCGAAGTGCTTTTCATTTCATATGTTTTATTTTTTACGCAATCTATCATTTAGATTTTTATAAATCATATATATTTATTTATTACATTTATTATTACAGGTCCGTGAGGATGAGATATCAGAACTGGAATTTCATTTGACTGAGCACTGTCCATTGCCTGTAAAGGGAGGAGTGGAAAATAATTACGGCAAGATAAACATCCTGTTGCAGACTTTTATCTCCAAAGGATTTGTTGATACCTTCTCACTTGTCTCTGATCTCGCTTATGTTGCACAGGTATGAAAGACATGCTTATCCCTTTATTGCTCCTTGTAAAATTATTTTAGCGTAGTCAGCAACATCTGAGAATTCGGAGAACACTCAACGTACGACGTAATGGTGTGAAACGCAGAAAACAGATTAAAAAAAGGTTAAATAAAATCTGACGCAGAACGCTTAAAAACGCGATCTCCAACTCAAAGAGTGGCCGAGAAATGCGTAACATTAACCTGAAACCTTTAGCCTCGAGTTTCCTTCTATGGTTTACTTTTGCGTTTTTGACGTATGCTGTGAAGGGAGTGCGCATGTTACACAGTTAAAAAACAGGCAAACAAACTAATTAAAACAAAAAAATCTGAGTTCAGAACAACTGAATGTGCAACGTATTAGTTTCTTAGTGGATCGATATAATACTTTTATATCTAGTATGGCCGTCGTCTTTCTCTTTTTGCTTTTTTTCAAACTCCTGGACCACTCGACACAGTGAAAATCCAGTATTCACTAAACTAAGTTTTAAGCTCTCCCCAGATTTAATGAGAAAACAACATCGCTCTTAACACCGCGTAATGATCGTGTCATGTCACAACGATGTTCAAGCAGGAGGTCTTCAACTTGACATAAATTACCGTGTACAGATTAAACTGAGCTTCAAGAAAAAGTCCAATTCCCTTTGGGTTTAAAGTTCGTATTTTTTTAATCTTTCCAGAATGCTGCGCGACTAATGCGAGGTCTGTTTGAAATCGCTCTTAACCGAGGATGGCCTACCATGGCTTACAGATTGTTAGGCCTTTGCAAAATGCTTGACAAACGGCAGTGGGTATTTGAAAATCCTTTGCGTCAGTTCACTATTTTGAAACACGAAACACTGTTCAAACTGGAGGAGAGAAAGGCGACTGTGGATCGACTCAGAGATATGACTGCTGATGAAATTGGTAAATAAAGTTGGATTTGTTCATCACTTTTTTAACCCTTTAACTCCCACATCAAATTTGTAATTTTCCTTAGTATACTGTCGACCATACAATTCTTATAAAGTTAGTTCAGAGAATTTAGTTGAAAGGTTAAATCCGCGAATCGG